CAGGCAAAGGTAGTTCTATCAAAGCTGTAGTTATAGGATGGGCTTTACGGATTGCATCAGTGTCATAAATTCACTGGTATTTTTCCGAAATACCTTGCGTTTATGATTATATTTATTTTTTTAAGGCTACATCATTGATTTTTAATTTTAAAATGAAAAGCCAGGTTCTGCATAATAGATTTATTTTAGTCCAACATTGCATAAATGTTTGGGAGTCTTGTTAGCAGGAGCAGAACCGTGGTTCAGCCTCACTATGGTCTGTGTCTCCCAGACGAGATGTTACTGGGCCATGGCTAGATTGTGATTGCTCAGCATCGCTCAGGTCGGTTCTGCTGGCCTCCTTCTCTCTTCAGCTCCGCTGCCGTTCCTCAGTTCTTGGCTCACGTCTACCTGTGATGCCTCTCCTCTCTCTAGAACATCAAAACTCAATTCATTAACATACAAAGCAAACATTGCTTGCACACCTATTGCTGTACAGGCCGTCTTAGTGTTCAGTTAAGCACTGAAGCATGGATTTGGAAGTCCTCAGCATGTCTTCCAGGTCTTATGTTAAGGCAGAAGGGCTCGCCATGCATTTTAACTTCAGAAGTGCCTAAACCACCCCAATGTAACTTAAAGTAATATGTTCGCAATCAGTTTCTAAGGCAGCTTATTAAATTTAAGCATGATTTCAGGGTCTGCTAGTTGGAAAAGCTTCCTTCTTAGGGGCTCGGGTTGTTCCAGCACCGTGCGGTGTACTGCGGATAGCCGAACTAACACGGAAAGAGTCGATGTCGATGTGTGCACACTGAGCAGTGCAGCATCTTCTAGCCACTCGCTCAGTGCACGAGTGTGGTGCTCAGCCCCGGCTAATTTGATTGCATGTTCCAGGTTTTGTGTTTTAGCTGTAGAGCTGTTCCAGGTAACTCGTTCACACAGAATTTGAGTATCTCAGTACAGCAGTTGTGTCATGTAGTCTCACTGCCTTTTCGTGAGCTTTAAGGCTTGTTAATACATAGGAACTGAACTGGTTCAACAAAACCTCTGTATTGCTAAGTTATACAAAAGTAGAATGATTTCCCCCCCTAACATGGTGCAAATGTGATTTTACTTTCCTTAGTGCAATGTGCCGCTAATTTAAACAGGAGAAATAGTGATTAGGTATTCCGTAAATATCTTTACTTCCTGCCAGAAATAAAGACTTTGTTCTTTGCTTGCAAGAATTAAGAAATTATCTTTAGTTGAGTAGGTTTTAGTAATGGAATATGGAGAGCTGATCAGCTCTGTGCTTTCTGGATGATATTCTTTGCTCCCTGAAAAACGCATTGGCAAAGGGCAGCAAGTGCTGTAAAGCACATTCATATCACTTCAGCAATCTTGCATTTGACACAGATTTACCCCTTCCAGCAGCCCGGTCTCTGTCTCTCTCTGTTTGCGTTTATGTAGCTGCCTTCTAAAAATAAAACCCTGTCGGAACAGGATTGGATTACGGCGCATGGAAGATCCTCTCCTTATCTGTTAAGCTTTGGCATTGCAAGTGGTAGGAGCATGTTATCAGTGGTAAGGGAAGTATTTGAACCAGAATCGCTTCCGCCTGCAGAGGCATCAGCTGCCAGGAATTCCTGTTAGGAACGCAGCAGCATTGTTTGCTGTTCGAATGCCTTTGGCAAGCTGCGGCCTTCCAGCCAAGATGATGGGGCTGCATTTCAATGGTGGCTGTGGTTTGCGCCTGTAATTGTATTTTCCTGTTGCGTCTTACGAGTTAGAGGCGTTGCAAAGAGCAGTTCAGTTCTTCTCGTGCCTTTTGTCAGCAAAGCCTGTTGAGAAGATATTTCTCGGGGTCATCTTCTTTTGGTTTGCCTTTTTTCTTTTATTTAATAATATTCCAGGGAAGGGGGTGCAGAGGGGAAGCGTGCTTGTGAAGATGTCTCTGTTAATTATACAGTAAGATTTTTTCCTGAGATGGATTGCAAAGGGAACAAAAATGGTAAAGGTGACCAGATGCCCTCTTCTGGAGTTAACTGGGGTAGTTTAAGATGTCTCTGCTAAAAGTAGCCCTCTACATAGCTCAGCTAGAA